AATTGAGGCAAATGTTTGTAGCATGAAATGCCACTTTGATGACGACCTCCTAAGTCGCACCAGATATTTATTGTTTTCATTCTTACTTAATCTAGTTAGGGGGTCCAGAAGGGGGTTCAAAAGGGGTTACAGAAGGGAGTCCAGAAGAGGGGTCTACGTTTTGTACCGTCCCGTTAAATTTGACCTAAAACACGGTGGAAAGGATCGGACAGGAGATAATTTGACAGACTAGGCCTATTTTGGTTACAATTTGACTTTGGACTCCAACGGAATCAATTTTAGGGGGTCTTAGTTTTCGAAATCTCGAAAACTGAGACGATCTTATGTTCTAAATCTTAGTTTTTGAGGGTCTTAAGTTTCGTAATATCCTTGTATTCTGGCTTAGTGGGATTAAGAATTTCATCTATTTCCTGTTTAATCAGACAAAAAATTTATTTTCCCTCTTGTCAGTGTGGCTGTTTTTATGCCTTCATTCATATCTTCATGTAAAGGTTCAGTAACAATTGTACAGTCTGTAAAGAATTGACCAAAATTGAATCCACATGTAGTGTTTTTATATTTTCTACATGTTTTGCTATGGCTGTGTGTTTGATATTTCTTGACCAATTCATAGAGTTCAGGACCAGTGTCTCGGTCTTGTAAATATGCTTACACTTGCTGCATGGTCAATATACTATATACTCTTGCGTAGTTTCATGGGTTCATTTAGGGCAGTCATCTGTCCATATCAATGCGTGAAGACGGGGAGAACCTCTCATTTTAATTTCTATACGGGGAACATAATGTACTATTTGCCAATTTGATTTGCATTACCTAGTAAAATCTCAGTAAAGAATGTTTCTACTCTGTACTGGAAGTGTTTAGCTACTATAACTGGATTGAGATTCAGAAGCCTGCATCCCTCATCATAATTATGATAAAGCTTTAAATTCCTCATCACTCATGTTTTTTCCATTAGCTCGAGCAATAATCTAACATAATTCAGGCCGTCTTAAATCAGTACATTAGAGTGTCATGAGCCATGTCGGTATATCAAGCTGTTTTATCATTGCTACTACCTCATACATGAATATTTGCCAGTATGGAGGAGAGCCGGCTAGAATTTGTCTCAGAAATAAGTAGGCTTGATCTTGATAAATAAGGTTCTGCAGGAATTGTGCATTTCACCTGACTTGTCATGCTGTAACACTCTGACCATGAACCTTAACGTCTTCAGAGCAATATTCATGCTTTAAGATATTGTTTCTGCTCAATAATGAACTGTGCATAGAAAAGGTACTCTTATTTGTAGTAAACCGCCCACTGTAATGCCACAGTCTGGCCCTAAAGTATTTTAGTGGTGATAATTTAACATCTCTTTCAGTAGTGTAACCAAATTTACCATTAAGAAATAGTTCTGGGAATGCAAGTTCTTCACATTGTTTATCAGTCATTAAAGACACTGGGTGTTTGTTTTCTCCAGGGGCTGCATTGTAAATTTCTTTACCGGTAGAGTTATCGGAGTTCTGTTCCTCAGCAACGTACTAGAGGGTAATCTGGAATGACTGAATGTAGACATGTCTCATTGGCAGTTGACCCATGCTCATTTAGAGGGTCTTTCACTTCTTCATTTTGGACTTCCATGTTGTTACTAGGAGGAGTATTGTTAGCGAGACTATTTACTCTTACATCTACAGAATGATCAGAATTTGTACTATCTACTGCATTTTCAGATGTATTTTTTTCTAAATTGCTTTGAGGAGAGTTTATTGGTAATGAGTTTGTGTGATCAACCTCCTTGTCATTCATTATACTTTTCAGTTCCGTGCTAATATTTGTGCAATCAATCTGTATACCTTTGTAAAGGTATTGGCTTTTAACCAATTTAGTGCTGTTATTATGAATATTCTGGTCTAACTGCTTCAAAATAAGCATGACCTCTAAATTGATCTTTTCTTAATAATTTCAAAAGAATAATACCACATATTTTAGGGGGGCAAGGCTATATGTTACATGTTTGATCACAATCAACTGGTACATTACAGATTGCTTCTTTAATCTTTCTTTGTTGTCCCTTGGACATCACTACTATTTTTTCAAATAGAATCCGCCATGCTATTATAACTAGCTCTAGTTTTTTTAAGACCTTTAAGTTCAGTTGGTACATCATCAACATATAAATTGTTTACAGTTTACATGGAACCTTTCCTTGAATAGCTTTTGAGTGACATGTCTTGCAGAATATAAATTTTTTCATCAAACGATATTAGCACATTAAAAAGATGCCGAGAAGGGTACCCATTTGAGACCAATAGCAATACAGATTTCTGATAGAGCATCCTATTGCACACACAACATATGTAAAGTGGACTTTCCTTAATATTCTTTTTAAATGTATCAATGAATGAATCCCCTCTTTTACTTTTATTACCACAGTACTTTTGTTTCTGTTTCTGAAGTAATTCTTCTTTGCTGCATCCACTGTTTTGTATTTTTCTGCTTGTTTATTTAATAGGTCTTG